TCCATCTCAAAAAAAAAAAAAAAAAAAATTCTTACTTATAAAATGTAATGGGTAAAATGTAATGGGGCATACATATTAGTTAGCTTGCATTGTCATAAAATACCACAGATGGTAGCTTAAACAACAGACATTTATTTTCTCACAGTTCTGGTGGCTCGAAGGCCAAGAGGAAGGTGCCAGGAGAGTTGGTTTCTGCTGAGGGCTCTCTTCCTGGCTTGTAGACAACCACCTTCTCACCATGTCTTCACATGGTCTTTCCTGGTGTGCTGGCTGAGTGAGCGCTCTCTCTGCTGTCTCTTCCTCTTCTTATTAGGACACCGGTGCTATTGAATTAGGACCCACCATTAAGGCCTCATTTAACCTTAATGACCTCCTTAAAGGCCCTATCTCCAAATACAGTCACATTAAGGGTTAAGGATTCAACATATGAATCTTGGGTGACCACAGTTCAGTCCATAACAAAGGGTAATTGTGATGCATAGGTAACAAAGTAGAATTACGAATTGAAGAAAATATTTTTGGTATCCTAAGCTTATATAATATAATAATGTATTTATTATTTATCTTCTGTCTATGAGTTTCTTCTCTCATTTTTGTAACAATACCACTGCTACCACCACCGCCAATACAGTCATCCCTTGGTATCCAAGGGGAATCAGTTCCAGGAACCCCCTTGGGTACCAAAATTCTCAGATGCTTAAGTCTCTTATATAAAATGGCATTGTATTTGCATATAACCTACATATGTCCTCCTGCATACTTTACTCTCTAGACTACTTATAATACCTAATACAACATAAATGTTATGTAGGCCGGGCGCGGTGGCTCAAGCCTGTAATCCCAGCACTTTGGGAGGCCGAGACGGGCGGATCACGAGGTCAGGAGATCCAGACCATCCTGGCTAACACGGTGAAACCCCGTCTCTATTAAGAAATACAAAAAACTAGCCGCGCGAGGTGGCGGGCGCCTGTAGTCCCAGCTACTCGGGAGGCTGAGGCCGGAGAATGGCGTGAACCTGGGAGGCGGAGCTTGCAGTGAGCTGAGATCCGGCCACTGCACTCCAGCCTGGGCAACAGAGTGAGATTCCATCTAAAAAAAAAAAAAAAAGTCATGTAAATAGTTGTCATATTGTATTTTTTAGTGTGTATTGTTTTTGTGTTTTTTTTTTTTTAATTGGTTTTTCTTTTCTGAATATTTTCCATCCTCGCTTGGTTGAATCCGTCGATGCAGAGCCTGAGGATGTCTGTACTTTATTAGTGTATCTTGATTGATCATGAGGTTTTTCTGGCTCACTTCTGCAAATTTGTTTACTAGGTCATCAAAATTTATACTTTTGGCAACTTCATTTTTAATTGATATAATTGAAAGCCACATGAGTTGCTCTTGGAATATGCAAGATGGCAAATAAATTTGGTAATTTTAATTTTAAGGAGGATCTTTCTGATGATGTGAATGTTACTGGAGCTGTAAGGAGTACTTTGTAGGCAGTGATGACATTGGGATAAATGTCTGATAAATTATATATATTAGTACATCGAGAGCTGACAATTCTTTTAGAATAATTTTTCTAAAAAGACTTAACTCTTCATACAAACCAGTTTCATGTAAGTCTGAATTTTATTTTAAATGCAAATTGTACAATGGTCTTTCATTTCCTCTTACATTCTCTGTAACTTGTGGAGGTTTTACAAGAAACTGGCTTTATGATTTGTTGAAAATGCAAACACCTGTTTATGCATTCTATCACTGTATCTTCAATTACAAGAGAAAATTTAATTTTAAATGTCTTCTTCATCAATAATTGATTCATCCATTGCTTTATATGAAAATACTGTGTTTTTTTCACCAAATGAGATTGTCTTTAAATTTAATTTCTGTTTCTAACCTTGTGAATATTTGTTTTGCAGTGTTGTGGTAGTTTCCAAAACCAGGGATTCTAAATTCTAGAGAATCTTAATAACTCCCCGACAAGTTTCATTGCAATGTCTACATGTACATTTTTATTTTTGTAATAGTTTACTGATAAAGTTTGACTGCCTGACAACCAGCAGTTTCTAGCCAAGAAGTTACGATTTGTGCAGATGCCCCAGAAATGGGCTCCAGGGATAGACCAGCAAACTGACCTCCCGACATGAATCCTAGCATTGCCTTCATGTGGAGCTTCTCCTGTCTCCAGGGCTATGGCTGCTGTCTCCACAGTTGCTGCTTCTGCTGCTGCTATCACCATCATCGCTACCACCGATCTGGGCCCAGGTCCCATCCTGGCCTGTGCAACTAACTGCTTGGCATGCACATTGCTCATTGCACGCTGTACCATGAGCCTGAGCCAACAAGGGCGTGTGCTGCCACTTCACATATGCTCCATTGTCCCATCAGACTTAATAACACAAGTCCAAAAAACACATATGCTCCATTGTCCCATCAGACTTAATAACACAAGTCCAAAGACAGAATGTGAGTGCTCAGTGACCAAACACAGCATGAAACCAAACATAGGGCCCTTCTACATGCAGGGCCCTGTGCAACTAACTGTACAGGTCACTGCCCATAAACTAGCCCTACCTCAATTCCTCATTGGCCAGTTCTGGCACCATCCCTCAGATATCTAAGCTGTCTGTATTTAAATCTTGTCTTAGGAAGCTCCTAAAGCCTACTATTATATTTTTACCAAAAAAAAAAAAAAAAATCCCCTATTGGGTAGACACCACCATATTCCCAGTCATTGCCCATTCTCTCATCTCCATTTAAAAAAAAAAAAAAAAAAAAGCAAAGAATGAAAAGTTATTCTTTTCAAGGGAACCATATGCCACCTTCCCAGAATTCCTTACGTCTAAAGGTAATTATGTGATTCAGTTATGGCCAATAGGAAAGAAACCAGAAGTCTGCTAGAGGTTTCTGGAAAATATTTGCTTTCCTATTAGACATACAGCCTTTTCTGTTCTGGTCCTCTTCTTCCTGCCAGGAATGCAGATGTGAGGCTGGAGGCAGTAGAGCCATCTCGCAATCATGCAGCAACAAGCAAGGCGGAGCTGGCATGTTGTTGACTGATAACATCGAGAAGCTGCTATGTTAATTATTAATCCTGCACTGCCAATCTCTGAACTTCTTGGTATATTGGGAACATAAACTCTTTTGGTTAGGCACTGCGTCAGATTTCTATTACATGCAGCCAAATGCAATCTTAATTGAGATACCCCTTTACCTAAGTTAGCTTTAGCTGTTCTTGCAACTGTTTGTGCTCCACCCACGGCATATGGGATCCCTTTTGCCCACAGCACCCTCCCTCAGTGTGATGTCCCCCAACCAGTATTTGCAGCTTTTTTGTTTTGTTTTGTTTTGTTTTTTAATCACAAAACTGCTCTCAGGCTGCCAAATCTGTTGGCCCTAGAGCAAGAAGTGCTATCTCCTGGG